CACGAGCTCTATGGAAAACACATTTGAACCAAGTTTTTACCACGTATGAAGCGTGTGCATGTGTGTGACACCCTCATGCCATTACAGGTGAGGTTCTTTCAAATTGCACATAATAAGATCTACAATGGGACCAATAATTAGGCAGCCTATTAATCTACTGTCATGCAGACGACTGGATAGAATATCGACTACAATCCTGGAACGTAAAAATGAAGGTGAACACTCTCGTGGCACAGCAATCTTAATATACACCCATAGGTCACCTTAGTGAATGATTCTCATGTCCGTCGTTTTTTCACTTGGGACCCACGTAGAGATTTGACTGTAATATTGTTTGAACCCATCCTAATCCTGCATCTACAGGTTACAAAGAAGAGTTAAATATGATGGGAATGAATACCAAAACAAAGAAATAATCGTATGCTGCTTAATGCCTCTAATCATTTCACAACCTGTGCACAAAGAATCAGCCAGACATCAATCATCAGTCTGTGAGGAAGAGGCTCCAGTTTGCAGACAGCCTGCTTGGAAATGCACAAAAGCCAGTTGGGTGGGGGTAGAGGGGGTAAAGAGGTATTTGGGTCAACATTTTTCATATTTTCGGCCTTTCGTTTGTTTATCCTCTGGAATACCAACATAACATACTTCTGCACAGCTCTTTCTCAGCCCCGCCGCTCCGAGCTCTCTGTACTGTACCTTCCCTCCAAAAGCTTTAAAGTCTCCTAATGAGATTAATTAAGCCGGTCCAGAGTTTGTTTAATGAGGCCCTAGTGGCCTGAAGCACGGAAAAAGACCCATGGCTGGGAAACGGGAGCTTTGCATTCCAAATACAAAACAAAAAAAGAAAAGATAAACAGCAGAACTTTAAAGAAGGCTTTAAAAACAGGCTCTGCAAAGTTAAACCATCAGTTAAGTGGTGGTAATCCATTTAGCTACAGAGCAGCTGGACACATTTACAGATCAGTGAGTCAGTAACTAAAATGGATTCAGTTTCCAGTGCAAATTCCAGTCTGGAGGACCCTTGATTGTTTCCTTTCCTTCTCTGAAAGAGGCCTCAGGAAGCAGACTAAGTTTAGTGACTTTGTCTAACTCACTCCTGATCAGGTCAGCTGCCTCTTTACATTTTGCTTGGATCAAGCTACAAAGCACAACTTCAGCAGCTCTAATTTAAATAAAAAGAATTGATTTCACTTCAGAGCTTGCCATCACCTTTGATGTGTAATCAAACGTTTGCTACTGCCACCAAGTCTCTCAGATGGGAGAAGCAGCACTTTTAGGCGTGCTCACAGGGAAGTGGGCCTTCATCTTTAACCGCTGTCCACCTTTCTCAACATTGCCAGCAGCCTCCAACACTAGCTTGTAGTAATGCACCCGTACATGCATCGCCTCAGTATCTGTGCACCGATACGTGGTTTTTCTTTTCTGCATATCAGCTGATTTTGCAGCTCGCTTTGGTGACAAAATAGAAAAACACTCCAAATTTCATTAACAGGTCCACGTCTCAAAATAATCTTGGCTGTTTTTTGACTCGTGCTCTGCTGCCAGTAATTCACTTACCTCATATCAAGTATCTCCTAATGCATCAACAGTCTTATCTTTCATATGACAAATTAGATTTGGAACTTATCAGAAGATAATTTATGAGTAAGCGTTACATCAAAGCCCATTTGGTTAAAGTAGCGCCAAGAACTCATCTCATCCTGGATGTAAAGTGCTGTTACAGTCAGTCGGAGCTGGATTCCCGAAAACAAACACTAAACACACACAGAAGGCTCATGAGCCACGTGCTCATTAGAGGTGGGAATCACCAAACATCCCACGATACGATATTATTGCAATTTTTAAAAATATTTTCAGATTCTGTCCATAAAGGTAAACTTTATCAATATTCATTATCTAATATCAAAGTCTCACACTCAGTCTTTCTCTCATTTCAGTTTGATTGTTGACAAACTGAACGGTTTGTATCACAGTCTAGTCCAACTTAACTGAATCAACCATCTGGTACAATTATAGCTATTCTGAACTATGCAGTTTATGAA